AAATAGAACTTCAGACCAATATCCCTCATGAACATTGATGCAAAAATACTCAATAAAATACTGGCAAATCGGGTCCAAGAACACATCAAAACGATCATCACCATGATCAGGTAGGTTTCATCCCAGGGATGCAGGGATGGTTCAACATACAAAAATCCATCAACGTAATCCACCATATAAACAAGCTGAAAAACAAAAATCACATGAACATCTCTCTAGATGCTGAAAAAGCCTTTGACAAAATCCAACACCCTTTCATGATAAAGGTCTTGGAGAGATATGGGATAACAGGAACATACCTACACAGAATAAAAGCTGTATACAGCAAAACAACAGCCTACATCAAACTAAATGGACAGAAACTCAACGCAATTCCGTTAAAATCAGGAACAAGACAAGACTGTCAACTCTCTCCATACCTTTTCAATATTATAACTGAAGTTCCATCCAGAGCCATATGACAACAAAAGGAGATCAAGGGGATTCAAACTGGAAAGGAAGAGGTTAAACTTTCACTACTTGCAGATTGATGGGAGAAGTCCTGTGTATAAGTTAATAAAGCACTGTTGGCCAATAGGGAACCAAGATATGTGGGACTAGGAATCCAGGAGGACTCTGGGTAGGAGAAATACAGGAAGTCAAGATGTAACGCCATGGGGTAGGAAGCCCGGAAACTTCTCCAGTAAGAGAAATACTTAGATTAACAATTATGGGGTAAATACTTAAGTCAGAGCTAGCCAGTGAGAAACAAGCAAGGCCAACAGCTTCATAATTAATATAGCCTCCTGTGTGTTTATTTGGGACTGATGCGGCTCTGGAACGAGGCTGGTGGGAAGGCTTCTCTTCACAAAATGGTACCAGAATGGTGATCAGGAGTGGGATGATGAATTTCCACATGGAATGACAAAAGCTTTAAAGGAATTTTAGAAACAGAAGAATGGAAAAACTGCAGTTTAAACAGCCACGGTTTTAACAGATAAGACACGTGGCCAGAAAAACATAAAGATTTACAGTAAAGTCAGACTTGGATGAAGAAAAACCTCTAAAGGTTTACAGTGTGTTTAAAAATATACATAGGATTGAGAGAGAAAAGGAAACGGCATAGTGGTAAATAAATAGAGAAGCCGGCTGTGGTGGCACACGCTGGTAGGATTTGCTGTAGAGGCAGAGGTAGGCAGATTTCCAGAGAAACCCTGTCTCAAAAAAATAAATAAAGAAATAAAAGTAAAAGAAATAGAGTAATAGTAATAGATAAATAAATAAGCCACGTAAAGATGAAAAATACACAGAAAGTCTAGATACTGTACGCTATTGTGTTTTTCAGGTTTTTGATTGCTCAGGAAGGAACAACTGCTAAAGTACACTTGAGTATAAATACTGCTGAATTAATTCAACTTATATCTTTTGAAACTACCTTGACTTCAAAATTTAAGTATAAGGAGTTATTGTTTATGTTTCTACAGAAAATGAAAAGCTGAGATTCCTTCCAGGCTTCTGTGGTTTTATGAACCAAGTCCCTGGAAGCAGTGAGCCATGTGTTCCAACAATTGAGACAGCTAAGATAATGGAGCTTTACAGACCACAAAAAAGGACATATCCAGGTTTCTGAGTTTTGTCATGATCCCCATGGTATGATCAGGCCCTCTTCCAGCACGAAGCAGTTTGGAATGGGCGATGTCCTAATTTCCATCTTGTTTATAAATTTTTGTTTTCATTTAAATGGGGTTGTTTATAATTGGCTAATGATCACAGCCAATCTATTTTTAATGGTAAAAAGGGGAATTATGGTATGGGTATGGTTTTCATTTATTGATACAAATTCAAGGTCAATTTTGTGATATGTATATTTTTCCTCTTGATTAAGTATTGTGCTTATACTGATCTTTTAAAACATAATGCATAATTGAATACAGATTATAGATAGTTACTTATAATAGTCAGAACTTATAGTTAGGTAAGTTAGGTTTTCTAGATATACAGAAATATATTTGAGATAGACAGGCAGTCTTCAAACCTTTCAAAGACCTTCAGAAAATGGCATTTAAAATGGTTTAGCATTTTTCTTGACAATTAGAAATGTCTGCTCCTGGCAGCACCAATTATGTCTGAGTGGAAGCTTGCTTTCAACATGGCCATTTGGGCAAGAAACTACTCTTTCCTAGACTGCTTGACTGTTGTTGTATAATCTGGAAATGCAGGACCCACAGGAAAGTGACTGCTGAACTCAGTCTTACAGGTTCCTGATTCATGGAAGAGTCTACGAGATTTTCTGCAGGACACAGAAAAATGACTGACAGACTGCCGATGCAGATGGACAGTTTGAAATTTCCTGCTTTGCTGAGAAGTCTTCCAGACACACTGTGGCCCTATGGGCTGAAGATGGATGCCCCAACACTACAGAGAAACTTCAGGTGACTGTACAGGTAGCAAGATGTCTCTGTCAATCCTAGTGTTTATATATTATCCTTCTGTGGTCTTTGATGGAGTTGACAACGGATAGTTATAGTTATAGTTTTCCTTAGTTATGATAAAAGATAAGCTACATATAGAACTTTGGACTCACAAGGATGGGATGGATATTTTCTTTAAATCTTGCTAAAATATTGTTATTGGCACAAAAATAGACAAGTAGACCAGTGGAATCGAATTGAACACCCTGATATTAACCCACACATGTATGAACATCTGATCTTTGACAACGAAGCTAAACATATGCAATGGAACAAAGAAAGCATCTTCAACAAATGGTGCTGGCATAACTGGATGCTGGTTATGTAGAAGAATGCAGATTGATCCATGTCTACCACCATGCACAAAACTTAACTCCAAATGGATAAAAGACCTCAACATAAATATAGCCACACTGAACCTCTTAGAAGAGAAAGTGGGTGGTACCCTTGAACGAATTGATACAGAGACAGCTTCCTGAACATAACACCAGTAGCACAGACAGCAAGAGATCAACAATTAACAAATGGGACCTCCTGAAACTGGGAAGTTTCTGTAAGGCAAAGGACACAGTCAGCAAGACAAAAAGGCAGTCCACAGAATGGGAAAATATTCACTAACCGCACATCTGACAGAGGGCTTATCGCCAAAATTTACAAAGAACTCAAGAAGCAATCTCCAAAACGCTAGCAGCATTATTTGTAATTGCCAGAACTTGGAAGCAACCTAGATGCCCCTCAAGGAAAGACTGGATAGAGAAAATATGGTACATTTACACAACGGAGTACTATTCAGCAGAAAAAAAAAACAATGGAATCCTGAAATTTGCAGGCAAATGGATTGCACCAGAAGAAACCATCTTGAGTGAGGTAACACAGTCACAAAAAGAGAAACATGGCATGTACTCTCTCATATATGGATTTTAGACATAGATCTGGGGAGTGCCAGCCTACAATCCCATAGCCAGAGAGTCTGGGAAACAGAAACTTCATTCAGTGGCTGATGGAAACAGAGGCAGTCTCCCACGGCTAAGCACTGAGCTGAACTCAAGAAATAGTTACAGAGAGGGAGGATTGATGAGCAAATGGAGTTAAGACTGGGCTGGTTTAACCCCCAGAAACAGCTGACCTGACAAGGGTTAGCTCTTGAATCCCAGACTGATGCCTGGGGATCAAGCATGGGACTGATCAAGAACCCCTGAATGTGGGTGTCAGTGAGGAGGCCTAGGTAATCTATTGAGCCTTGCGTAGTAGATCAGTATTTATCCCGGGTATACAAATGGACTTTGGACTCCCATTCAATAATGAGAGATGCACTCTCGCTCTGAACTCTTGGGGGAGAGTATAGGCCCTACCCTGGATGAAATGACAGACTATGGCAAACCCCATGGAGGGCCTCACCCTCCCTGGGGAAATGAGGGGATATTGGGGGCATGGGAGGAGGGGAGGGAAATGGAGAGGGACCTGGAATTGACATGTGAAGCAAGCTTGTTTCTAATTTAAATTAAAAAATATATATATATAAAGAATATTCTATATTGTCCCCCTTTCACAATGCTGTAAAAACTTTTAATGTTGTTTTGATGATTTATCTCTATACCACTGTGTTTACTAGAAATAACTGTGGATGGGGTAAATTCTTCAGTATCATTTCCATCATTGTTCACATCAGACTTAAGTGTCTCGTATCTCTGGGAAACATTGACTTCTACATACAGTTAGGCAAAAGCTGAACTTCAGAAAGAGGTGTATGTAAACATCAATGAATACTGACCAACTAGGATATGTTACTAATTAAACATAGAAGTGTAGCAAAATTTAGATTTATTTAAAATGTATCTTCTGTGTTATCATAACCTTTTATTTACTCTGGAAAGATCACTTATTAAGCTATTAAAATTTTTCATCACTTTTATGTCAGTATCTTTACCTGTTTAATGAATGTGTTTTATGGAAAATGGTCAGGTGTAGATTGATGGATATAAGTCTATGCAGCAGAGAGTAAAAATAACCACTTGTGTGTGTATATAAAATACTTGTTTCATAATTTAAAATATAAAAAGTGATTTGATACAAGATATTTTGCTGTAATTTTTCTTTAACAGTGTAATTTTACTTTATGAGTTGTGTTATTTATCACAAAGAATTTATACAACTCAGAGTTCCTTCTGTGTCTGCACTTTTTTTAAAGATCGTATTATTGTTAGAAAAACTAATCGACAAGGGAAAGTTGAAATAAAGACAGAGTTGAATTATGTGTGCCCCTGTGAATAAAATTATATCACTACCAAAAATATTAATATTTTCTCCCTAGTCCCAGCATGATTAATGTTCACACTCCAGAGGTATGTGCCCAGGGAGAATTTATTTTGCATCGGAAAGGACTTTCTGTGGAGAAAGATGCTTCCACTGCAAAATAAATTAGTTGTGTTGAAGGAGAGGAGTATATTGAGTTTTGGGTGATTTATTCAGTCTTTCTTAGTTCATGCTTGGAATAAAGGAAGCAACTGATCGTACAGCATTGCTTAGATATTATTTCTGATTTCTTATCAGAACCAGATGTCGACATTCACAAGCAAGTGGACACAAGTGAGTCCTGGCAACTTCATAGTGCAAAATGTAGCTGTAGTCTTCTAAAAGGTGGGTATTTGCTATATGGCCAAAGCCAAAGGAAAGGTCTACAGTGCACATTTTATAGAATTTATGGATGTGCTCTACCTTTCACTTGAAATATGTCTGTAGCAGAGTGATTGCTCTGATTCATCAAAAGAGTAATTTACATAATTGAATTCATATACTATGGCTTGGAACTCCTTGCCTATTTTATTTCTGCAGCATGTTACTGTAGATTCTGCTTCTCCATTATTATCAGACTCTGCCTTGGTGGTCAGAGGCCACACTTGTCATTTGCTCATTCAATACCAGTAGGTGGGGATATCTGGCTGCTACTTATTTGAGGAAGACCATTTTCTCTATAACATATTTGAGAGATATGATGTTCTCAAAATGAATTTTAAGAATACTGAGTGGGGGAATGGTTTAACCAAGAATGGTGGTGGGGAAATAGAAGATAAGTGAAGGTGCCCCAGGGGTTAACAAAAACTAACAATGTATAAAGTGTCTTTGGAAATTTTATTATTTCTAAGTCTATTAAAATATGATTTACAATTCTTTGTCAGAAACACCCACATAGGTTCATAATGCTTCTCCCAGAACACATAGGTTATTCAGCAAATCCCAGTAACAGTAAGAGGTGAATAATATGTCCATAGAGTTTGAAAATGCTCAAATGCCCCCAAAACATGCCCTTGCTTTCCCACCAGAATGAGATTATAAGACTTTATTCCTGGAAAGACAATATATTTGGTTACAGGTAATTGAGAAATAAAGTTGGATATGAAGTGGAAGTTTCAATCACGTGGGTCTGCATACACAGGGCTAGTAGATCCTATGCAAGCTATTCATGAAGAAAAGTCATTAACGGTCTTCTCATCATGGAACTGATGAGCTATTATAATGCCCTTCCTGGCAAGATACACTCATTGGTGCCATAGTGGCATGACTATTAAGGAGAAACCAAATGATTTCTTGTTAGATTTGAGGCCCACTTCACAGGAGTTAACTCATAGCTGGTATGATATGTCCCATCAGGTGCTGTGGCTGAGGAGGTCTTGGGTCCTAGGGAGAACATACAGCTGTCATTTTGTTAAATGTACATGGTATCAAACTGCTTTCTACATACAGGTATATCCATAGATGAGTGCTGTTCTCAGTCATCATTAAAGAAGGTTCTTTCTTTTTGCCCTGAACAGTGGCTAATGAGGACTCATAACTGGTCAAAGAGTAGGGAATAAGTGACTGTGAGATGCTCCTTCTTAAACAGGATATCACTATCATCCCCTTCCATGCTCAGGAGACATCAAGGAATAGAGAACAGAAAGAGTATAAAAAAAAGAGTTGGGAAGGACCACTGAGAAAGTATCTTCTAGATATAACATAGCCAAAGAACCCCATGCTTTCAGGGCTGTGATTGCCTTCACAAGACCTACATGAGATTTCTGCTGTCACTATTTTATTGTGTTGGGGGAGACTATCATGAGGCCCCAGCTCTCATTGAAGAAATGTGTGATGAAGAGGATGTCATTTCTTCACTGGTATGGTCAGTAATAAGCTGCCCATGTTCCATTAAATAGTCACCAATTATGCAAATAACATCAAGTAAAATCAGTAAAGGAAAAATAAAAGTTATCAATAAGGAGGAGACTTGAACAAGAAGAATTTTTGTGTGAAGGAAGGTGAATGAAAGAGGACAATGGGGGTGAAAGTGATCAAATTCAGCATACACACGCATGAAATTGTCAGAGATTAGAAGAAAACGAAGCAGTGGCCTATATGTGTGTTGTTACTGGATACTATTACACAATGTATAAAATTTAAACCAGAAATAGTGTTCTAAGATGCCATAGAGTAAGACCTGTATCTGAGGTTTGCTTGGGATTTCCTTTCATTTTATAGCTATTTATTGGTTGATTACTAATTTCGCATGCATTAAGGACTGATTTAAGCTGGGTGAAAACAAAGGGAAGGCAAGCAGATAAGGTCCCTGCCTTCTTGGAGCATCTATTCCAGTGGAAGGAGATGATTTAGTTAATTTCAAATATAAAAATTGTAAAGGAAGAACAAATGAGAGGGACTTGGGAATACTTTGGAAGTTAGTTGCGGTGTTATCCTCTGGAAAAACAGTAGCCAGATAGGTTACTCAGAAAGAAGGAAGTGAAAATGCAGGGATCACATCAGGAAGCAGTCAAGGAAACCTAACAAGATTTATCTAGTAAGGTATTGGATGGGACCAGGGGAGTGAGGTAAATTAGAAACACAGTCCCTGTCCCATGGGCTGTGGTCATGCTCCCTGGGTAAACACCTGGGAAGCAGTTTGTGGAACACAGATTAGCTCTTGTGATTTTTACTAGGTGCACTCCTGCGATCATCTTTGAAAAAGTGAACCTAACATAGGCTAGGACAAAGCAAGATCTTGTGTGATATAACCCAGAAAATGTGTCAGCTGTCTCCATGGGAACTGAGGTGGCATTTGTGAGTTTTGCCCAGTCCTGTCACCATGTGGATAGACCACTGGTAGTGCTGCTTCTTCTCTGCTAAGCCAATTTCCCAAGGGATCAGCTATCTGATGGATGGTTTGGCATCATATCCAGAAGGTAGTTAAATACCTCCTTAATGTCTGAAACAGTCTCTTTAACGTGGAATTTTTTTCTGAAGAACAATGGGGAGCCAACAAAGTGTTTTTGAAAATGAGTTTTGTAATAGCATTTGTGTTTTAATATGATTACTCTGGCTGTATTTGTGAAGAATGGGCTATACAGAGTATAAGGAAACAAAGCATTGTTTCTATGTAAAAAGCAAGACATTTGGTTAAACTGGCCAACTATTACTTTGTCTTAATTATTGAAATAATAATATTTAAACAAATCAAGGATGATTTTTAAAATTCCTATTTGGTGATATAAAGACTAAGAAAAGAACTAACAGGAACAATTGTCTCCAAAGAATTGATGAAGTTGTGAATTCTAACTGTGATATTAGTGAATGACCATGTGAGTGCTTGTGTGTGTGTGTGTACATGTATATGTGTGTATGCACACACACATGTCAACTTGCATGAGTAGGAAGAGGGAAGGGCAATTTTAATACTATTTCCTTATTAGTCATAAGGTTAATCTGAGTTTTACAGTTTTACAATGTTTCTGCTTCTGATTTCTGAATTTGAGGTCTTCAGGGATTCATGATGGTCATGTGACCCTCATGTAAATTTCATTTGTTTTAAAGAATGTCCAAGTTTGTGATCAGATTATCTATGAAATATGTGTTCACTATGTAAGATAAGAGTGTGTGGCTGTCAAGCAATGTGAAGGGAATCCTCTGGTGACAGGATTATTCTGTATCTTGACTGTGATATTCTGTATCTTTCCTGTGGTGGATATATGATTCACAAGTGTGAATAAACTGACAACTACTAACAGTCATTGTTTCCATGTCAATAGCCTGCTTTGGATATTGTCCAGGTATGTGAGTATAATTACTGGGAGAAACTGTGTAGTACATATATGATTCCCCTCTGCGCTGTGGATTGATAATTATTTTACTATAAAATTGGTCTCCCCCCCCCATACACTTTCTTGGATTACTGCATCTATTGTGGTGACAAACACCTACTCAAGGACAAGAAGAACAAGAGGACCTTTATTTTCTTCTGACCTGACCTGTGCCATAAGTCTCAGACCCCATGAGTCTAGCTGTCCCCATGGATACCTAAGATCCAGCAGAGGAGGGTTCATCCGCTCCTCTCACCACAAATGGATTTTGGATTAATAACAAAATTTGTTACATATGTTTTACTTCATCAAAATCATTTAAATACTTCTTTGTGTCTCACAGCATGTGCCCTCCTTGGTTAGCACAAATATCCTTATTCTAAGTCGGGATGTAAAGGTATCGAGGAGAGATATTAAGTGACCTCTCTGAGGGCTACAGCTAATATAGTAGAAGAATAAAATACCCAGACTCACATCTCCTGACATACACCCCAGTGCCTTTTCAGCAGTCTGCTACTATTTTCCCAAGTTGAACACAAACTAGTGAATTCATGATGCAACACAGGGAAGTAATTTACAGCATGTGGTGTGTTCATTCTTTGATTCCTAGAGCACCTGATTAAACAGTTCTCAAAGGAAGCTGACATGAATTAGCTCTATATTCTTTGGCATTTTAGAAGGGACAATGAAATGTGAAATGTGATGTTCTGATCACACAATTAACCTGTGCTGTTTTCATTTTGTGCTATTTGTGCTTTAATTCTTGGTGACAAGGGTATTTCTTCTGGCAAGGTATGAGATGGTATGCAGGAACCTTTTTTCCTTCCTTCCTTCCTTCCTTCCTTCCTTCCTTCCTTCCTTCCTTTCTTTCTTTCTTCCTTCCTTCCTTGCTACCTTCCTTTTATTTCATTCTTTATGACCAAAAAGAGAAATTAAATTCTTGTAAAGAAAAAAATAAACTCTCTGAAGTACAAAGCCCTCACCATCTGTTTCCCTCATTGCTTTGGATCTCTGAAGAGATTGGCTTATCTCTCTTGGCTCTTGGAGTCTTAAATTGAAAACATTGCTTTGATTTATGTAAGCTGCCTTGATTTATGCACTGCTAAAATGAGTATCAGATGGTTTCATACTTCTGCAAAGGCAATAGCTCAAACAGGTAAGCTTTATCTTATCATCTGAAAATCATGATGCTGAGACATGGGTATTGAATAACATTGCTTAATTATTTCAACTGCCTTGGTATTTGGGATTTGGCCTGGACAAAAATGGACTTAAGTTGAGTTACAAGACTGACATGCAACCCATACTTGTTTTGTACCCAGATAGACATAGGAAGCTAAATGGTCCCTCCACCAAGGAAGTTAGGTAAAGTTACAGATAAATTTCAGGTTAAGCAGAAGCAGATGACTGGAGGAAAAGGCACCAACAAAGAAAAGGCTGTGCTTGGAATGAATAAACTGAGAAATTGGCTGTGTCGTGCATTATGAATCCATCATAAGGACAATGATAATCATGTTAACAGTAAACATTAAGCAAAACACCTAGATCTTTGTGAGATACTTTCCCAGGAAATTCAAACCTGAGGAGGCCCAATGACATACACAGAGACTGATGAATTTGATGTCGGAGCAATTCATGTTTTCAGATGGATGAATTAATAACGTGAAGCCAGAGGATTATAGGCACTACATTGTTCCATAATCCATAGCCAGAATAGCGAGTGTGGCCTTGTTTCACTAGAGCAGTAAATAGTAGATGAAAATGACAAAAACAGACAAACAAAGAAACAAAAACAAAAGCAAAAACTGATAATAACTGTTTTGTAATGCGTGCTATACCCGAGGTCACAACAACATATATGTACTGGAGGTGTTAGTTGTTAAATTACAAGCACACGTTTTGTTGTAAATACTACCTGATTGAAATCAACTTGTTTTAAATTAAGACTTTGCACTAACATGTGTTACACCAAAAGGAAAATAAATTAGGGACTAGAAAACCATGCAAAAGTAGCTTTCTGAACAGTAGAATGGAACATGTGGCCCTACTAACTCTTTAACTTCATGGTTTATGCAGCTCATTGAACTAAGCCTCCCCATTCTTTATCTGTGCATAGCTGCTCACCAGAAATGTAAGACTTACCAGTATGGGATGAGTTTTCCCATCAAGACTATAGACCCTGATGACTGTATTTCATAGTGGCTTGATAAAATCTGTGGATAGCCTTCGTGAATGACATTTCTTTTTCAAAACTCATCTAGACAAATTCTCTGTTGTGGCTGTTATAGGAGTAGAATAGAACAAGCAGGAAAGTTAGAAGAAGGGGATAGGTGTAGCCACACTCTTTTTTGTTTGTTTTTTTGAGACAGGGTTTCACTGTATTGCTTGGAGCCTGTCATGGAAACTCACTTTGTGCACCAGGCTGTCCTCAAACTCACAGAAATCCATCTGCCTCTGCCTCCAGAGTGCTGGGACTAAAGGTGTGATCCACAAACACACTCTTAACTAATAAACTTAGTCAACTTCTGAGATGGAAAGTGTAGGTGTGCTGCCAGCAGAAAGGACAGAAATGAAAGTGAGATGCCAATAGCTATCCTTTGATTGGCTATCTGCATCCTGCACTACCCTTCTGTGATTTATACTACCTCAGGCACACACATGTGCAATTTTGATGTTTTACTCTGTTCTGAGCCATGAATCTGGAAGGTATGGGAATGTAAGCATGTGTAGCCACCACTGATAAAATTTCTCAGTGTCTATGTCTAGCTCTACCACTCTTGGGTAAATTATATCTAAAGGACTTTACATCAAAGCACCAATGAAATGCTTCCATATCACATCTACACATAGTGACACTAATATTATTTACAACAATCAAATTGATCTGCTCAAATGTCCATTGGAAGATGACTGAATAAGGAGCAATGTACATACATCCAAGGGAAGTTTACGCAGCCCTCAGTGAACCGTCTAGAATCTGAGCATTCCTAACTCCCTATTAAGACTGATCTTGAATAACTGTACTAGTTTGTTTTTCTGTTATAAAAAACACCATCATCTAGGGGAGGAAAATTTATTTGGCGTGCAGGTTACAATCCATCACAGAGTAAAGTCAAGGCATAAATCCAAGGTGAACCCCAGCGGGAAAGAACTGAAACCTAGAGGTTATGGGGGAAAGATTCTCACTGGGTCCCTCTCCAAGGATTGTTCAGCTTTCATTATCATACAGACAAAATCCAACTCCCCAGGGGTAGCACTGCCAACAGTGGGATGCCCCTGATCAATCTTTAGTCAAGAGGATACTCCACAGACTTGCCTACAGGCCAATATAATGGGGGCATTTTCTCAATTAGATTTCTTCTTCTCAGGAATTTGCCAATTTGACGAAACACTAAGCAGCCCAATAACCAATCACCAACTTGAGTTTGGACAGTAACTTAAATTTCTTGATTTTGGTTATTCATTTGGTCCTTAGATACAGAAAGATAAACCAAGACTAAAAAGATGGTAAAGGAAACAAAGTAAGTGACATTTTAAGTAGGCCTATAAATACTTATAGATAACCAATTGATTAAATAATTATATGTGCATCTCTATGCATTTTGCAACCAAGATGGGAACAAACTGTCACATTTTTACTCAAAATTGTTTAATATGCATGTATACTTAGTTTAATAACAAATCATTGATTTGAATGCTGCTGATTATGAAATGATTGTTCTTCAAGTTCAATCATTAAGTAAAAACAATGTGATGGCAAATATTGTGGAAAACTTATTTCAGCTTGGCATATAGTGACAAATGCATTCACGCATTGGAAAAAAAACCCCAAACTTGGAGGACCAGTCTGTAGGATCTTTAATTCAAAGCAATGACTACCATAATTCATGAGTCATATGAAAATGAATCTCCAAAGACATTTTAATAATGAGGACATTTTTTATATTTTCTTTCACTTTTTGTACACATATTTTGAACTATTGGTTATAATCCAAAAGCAAACTCAGTACTATTCTTTTATACTGCTTCTAAAAGGGACTGTGTGTTTGAATTCCACAGCTTCCGAACAAGGTTCTCAAATTAAACTAGCATTTGATTCTAAAAGTTTTCATTATTGTGGTTCCAAATTCTGAAGTACAAATGGTAGATTTATTATTTTAAACAAGAATTAATCTAAGCCCTGACAAATATTTGTATTTCAACAAGAGGATGAAATTCTAGGTATTTAAATGCTCAATTTTTACTTTAAGTGTCTTCTTTGAATATTCATTATCCTATGCTCCACTTGCTACATCTATCCTTATTTATATTTCACTTGGTTCTGTAGGAATAGTACTCATTTTCTTGCTATAATTACAAAACATAATACTTAAAATGAGATATTGCACAAACTCTGGTAGAGGTGATATCATGTCATCAGTGCCTTGAGTTTCACTTATTGTCATCAGTAACAGGGGTCTACCATAGAAGAATCATGTCATCAGCACCATATGGTTCACTTGCCATCAATAACAGGTCAGTCATAGAAAAATGATTTGTTGGAACATTATTTTGAATTACTTGAAGTACACCCTATTCGTATATATATGATAATGTAACCAAAATATTATAATTTTAGCTTCATATCACATTGCACAGAATACTGAAGTGCAATATGCAGTGAAACAGCCTACATTTTAAGACATGAACAGACTAAATGTAGGGGAAATCACAGACTTAAAGAAAACGCATTATCTTGTGATATCTATTTTACTGTAACCTACTTTCCATGGTATTAGGAAAGACATAATGAAAAGGAAGAATGATTGAAAAGTCTCTGATCAAATCCTCCCTGAATTACTCCACAAAATATCCAGAAATTACTATTATAGTAAACCACAAGATAGGCCTAAATTACTGCTTTAGTACCCAATCTCTTTGGATATCATTATTTTTCAAAATATCCAGAGGTGGGGAATGCAAAAATATTAATTTTCTCTGAGCATTCTGACCACTTAATTATCTAAACTGGATACCAACAGTATCCATGAGGTTGGGAGATGAAAAAATTGTTCAATTTTTCTTTATATCCATGATAATTTCATAACAGCTAATGGGAAGAGATGTTTAATATGAGAACCTCTGGCTCTGGGAGGATCATATTACAAGCCACAGCTGAATATTTCTGAGACAACTGTCAAACTTGAGTATTAATGTTAATATAGACCCTGCCCATGCCTTAGACTATGACCCAGATAATATAATGGTTTCCAGATAAAACTGAATGCTGATATATAAATTTGTAATAGATATGATTATTCCCATTTAATGTGTGAGGAAAGGGTGACTGAGCTGTTCTGTGAGTCACCAGGGCCACTTTTTGCATCAGGTATTATGGTGACATTAGGCCAAGCCTTCTTAAGACAGAGCGGTTTCTTGTCTTTGGTCAGGCAGTGGTTCATGGAGAGCTCAGATACCAGGGGATGAGGTGCTTTAGTTCTTGGATCCCATACACTTTCTCTTTAATAACCACAAATAAGATTATCATGAGAACAGTACTTGTTTGAAGTATTCAGCCTGGGAACATAAATTAAAACAGGAAAATTATATTTACTTTAGTTGTGCATAAAAACAAACAACTCACTGTTAGATCTATTTCCATTATTAGAAATACACGTACATTTATTGAAGAAAGTAATTCTAGTAATAGAAATTACTTTTTATTTTGCCAACAAAGAAAATGTTCTTATAATTGCTAATGGAGGACAACAAAAGTCTTGTGACACATATGGCTAATAAATCTACATTCAAATAGAATAAATGATTTATTTTTATTTAAAGATGTTAATTTCACTTAAGTTTTAGTTAGTCTGCCTCAACTGTGACAGCCTGGAATTATGTCCACATAGGATTCAAAATGTAATCACTAACCCATAAAGCAATTAAATGATTTTACCTCATATGTGTGTGGAAGAAGCAAGTAGGAATCAGATGTCTATTAACAAAATCTGCATGTAACTTTGCCTGCCCTGGAGTTAGTATCTGTCTCTACACTACAGATGGTATCAGCTCTGTCCTTTTGCATCTCCTCCAGCTTCTGCACTAGTCCTAATGCACTATTTCTGGACCCTAAAACTAGGTGTCTTTAGCACGAATTTCCCAGAAGCAGGTCCTATATCAAAGAAAGATTATACAGATGGTAGAAGAAACATCGCACTGTCTTATCTTCAGACTTCTAAGGTAGACATGCTGTAGAAAGGTAGCTAATAAGCAAGAGATCTGTTTCTCACACTTCTGGAGGGAGGTACTAGAAACAGCCTGTCTTTGAATTTCCATGTGGGCACTAATACCATTTGGATAAATACAACTTTATCCAATCCCGGATACCTCTCCAAAGCCCTTCCCTGATACCATCACTTCTACCTGATACCATCCCACAGAAGCAGAGTTTCAGCATCAGGATGTAGGAAGGGTTAAAAATATCCAGTCCATAACAACTGGTAAGAAATAGAGATACTTTAGATCAAAAGGAAAGGCTATCCTTGTTATTCATTAGTCAACAGTCACATGTATAGTCTGGGCTTCATGCCACTGGGGAGGTAGAGAAGACAGTGCATAGCACATCCTAGAAATGTTCCCCTTGGAGGCAGGAAGTTGACACATATAAAATCTCTAGTGAATTATAAACTGAAGTGATGTGGTTGATGAAATGGAGATCAGGATTCCATTTATACTACGGACCCATAAGGTTTCAACATTTTCATAATTGCAGAAGACAGTGCATCATACAACATGGTTCACACCATACTCACTTTTGTTGTGTTTTGTTCATGAAATACTCATTTTGAATAAAAATTCCATTATTGGGATATTTTGCAGACTTCACTATACTTTCTTATTTTAAGCTACATTCTTAGTCCTTCCTTCCTTCCTATCTATCTTTATTTCTGCACTTCAGGAGATATTTCTATTCCATATTACAAGATACTGCCCTTTTCAATGCCATATCCCATTATAGCTGCTTCTGTGATAAAAGTTTCTAGATACCTAGGAGGAATACCTACCCATACAAGACTTCTATTTTATATTCATGTTAGTGAATCAGTCTCAACCACCCTAATGGTACACTCAAATATTGGCTATATTCTCCTGCTTTCCAGATTACATATCATATAAAAATGTAATATCTTCAACTTAAATGAATCTCAGTTGGATACAAAGCTGCTGATGACATAAAATGGATTACCAAAGGTCATAGTTCTCACCATCTGGCTGCTAAATGATATCATCCAAGATTTTAATAAGACTCCCAGATTTCTTCATGCACATATCAAATCATATTTGCGGGGAGCAATGAGGAGTGGTTAATTTAATGTACAGTGTTCTCTTTACGAAAGCACCTGCAGGTGCTCTGAAGGCCAGCCAATTTGGAGAGCTACAGTGACCAGCCATCCACAGACAAATGGATTTTCCTTTGTATTTAAAGACACGGTCATGGCATGTGTTCTTATTCTTCATTTTCTTTCAATTTCTGCTGCCACTGTGCCAGATCAGACTCTCAGTGGTACTGACCTAAGTAACTTCTTTAAGCCTCTTTTCATTTGATCAATAGTATCAATATCAACTATTGACAGATCAATAGTTCAGTCCCTGAGAGAACACCCAACTCAAGGCTTCTGCTCTTTCATACTATGTTGCCTCCCTCTGGATCATATATTCACTTCTGTAAAATACACATGCATCTCTTCTTTTAGCTATTGAGTTTTAAAATACCTCTTTGCAACTGACATTGATAATCACTTCCTGAATGTCCTGAGATTCAATTTAGTCAAAGATGCTCTCCCTCAACTCCCCCAACCTCCAAAAATTCCCAAAGTCATGTTTTGTCTTCTTTGTCAGGCATTCATGTAACTCCCTAATTTTATCACAAACAACACTTCAAATTGCCTTTATTTCTGAAAGCCTGAGGGAATCCAACCCTTGGTTACACAAATCTTTTTTTTTTCCAACTCACCCAGCATTACATCTGCTCAATGCCTGCTTAGCTGGTGAGAATTCTTTCGCACATTTCTCAACTTGCTTTTCTGACTCTGAAAGTCCTTTATAACCTTATTTTTCCATACATCATTTACATATTTTACAAATTTGATTTTATTCTGTGTAAGCATTCATATAATATAATTGATTTCGTGTGGTAGTCTACTGTTTAATTTTCACATTCGTTGATATAGTACTACATTGGCCATAAACACTAATACCAACAGAATTTCTGGGATAAAAGAAAAAAAAAACATTCGAGAAACTTCTAATAAGATTTAGTAAACTATGAGAAGAAAGACCATCTATATAGACAAGTGCTAATTTATTAATAGGACATTCATTTGTCCCCTCACTCAGTGAAAGCACTGCAAAACTGTAAAGTCAAAGATGAAGGTGACTTACTTGTGACATGTTCCAAGCAGCTCCTGATCCATTTAAGAAAATATGTGTGTCACAAACAGAAGACTGAAAATTGTAACTTTACATTCTCTCTCTCTCTCTCTCTCTCTCTCTCTCTCTCTCTCTCTCTCTCTCTCTCTCTCTCTCTCTCTCTCTCTTTTTTGGTTTTTACGAGACAGGGTTTCTCTGTATGTTTTGGAGGCTATCGGTCCAGCCCGGCCTCGAACTCACAGAGATCCGCCTGCCTTGGCCTCCCGAATGCTGGGATTAAAGGCGTGCGCCACCACCACCCGGCATAACTTTACATTCTCTTATGGGGTATCTAGTGTGCTAACATTTCGAACATAGTTTAAAATTAAACCAAGAAAAGAAGGGATGTGTAGATGAATCCAAGTCTACAATTTATTAGTTGTGTGATTTCAGACTCATTACTTGATCATTTACTTTCTTGTCTGCAATAGTAATTTCATTGAAGGAGCAAAAATCCTCATCCCACCCCCTGAGACTTATGGAACCACAGAAGCTAAAGTATGGATAATAACAGTACTAATAAGAATGTAAAATTTCTATTCACATTAGTAATTATTTTCATCATTACTTTGGCAAATGAAAGTTCCAAGAGACTGAGAATATCATTTGCCTTCTCCACTCTTGTATACTCATACCTAACATTCAACTTCCATGTGTTCTCAGAGAAGGAAACCAGACTTGGACAATACGTATTTACATGTATGGTGTCAGATATACTTTTGTTTGATGCCCACAGCATCTTGGACGAACCACTCAGGTCAGAAGGACTGAACCTCTTGCTCAGGGTCACACAGCAAGCACCACATCTTCATCCTGGGCTGTTTTGGAACACACCAGGTAGCCCTGCTTCAAGGGCATACAGCAAGCACCACATCTTCATCCTGGGTTGTTTCGAGCACACCAGGTAGGTCTGTTTTCAGTTTGTTTACTCAGGGAAAAGCTGTTCTGAGTCAAAAGTAGGAATGTGCCATTTAAGATAAGTGATATCCTCATGAAGACAGATCTGTGGTCCTGGTGCCAGTGGGTGTACACTTCATTAAATAGACATACAACAGACAGGCTGAGTGTGAAGTGGCAACTTAATATAACCCCAAACCAAAGATTTCTTGACTTTTACATGGTAAGTGTCTTTTATTGATTATTTTCAGCATACAGTGTAGAGTCCTTTTACGAATCCTTTCAACATTTGCAGACATTTTTGATTTATGACTGTAAGGGCTGGAGGGAGCTCTTGCTACTCATCTTTAGAAGGAGGTATTTGGGAAAGCTTCTTATATTATACTCCCAAAAGAATTTTTCCCATTGCCTGGATGTTCAATTTGACTAGCCAGCACAGAGCTGGGCAGAGGTGGAACAGTAGAGTAGGAAATATACATTGCTCATATTCACCCATTCACTGCTCCTTTTCCTTCCTCTAAAATAAAAACAAACATCAAATCCCCAGCTGTTTTATGGATGGTAGTATCCAAAGGACACAGTCTGGCCAGTGTTGTTTGTGCCTCTTTTCCTACTTTTTGTCTTTTGGCATATAGAGAAACAAATGACATTTGAAAGCAGGAATTTAAAAATATTACAGAAGAAAAGTAAGAAGCCATCTATGTCTGTCTACCGCCAGGCATCCTGCATGGAAAGGACAAGCTACAATATTTTAAGGTTGCTGAAAAGCACCTTCTTGCATTTGCAGCTGACTGGAATTCTTAGGTCAGAGACCACCTGACACTCAAAATTCTGGGATCATATGCCGTGTTTTATATTCATGCATTTGGAGAAACTCCTGATGGGAACACTTGGGAGTGTGTAATGATAATTGGTTGTTTGTCCCAACTGGTGCCACTGCCCTTCTCAGTCCCAAATGAACACACAGATGCTATATTAATTATGAAACTGTTGGCCAGTGACTACAGGTTCTTATTTAGCCAGCTCTATCTTAAATATTAACCCATTTCTATTAATCCATGTATTTCCTCATAGTTTTATTTTACCAGGGAATGCAGGACCTGCAGCTGCTTTGCCTGCTACATGATGACTGATTAGTGTCTCTGCAGAGAAGAGAGCTATTTCCTATTTGTCCCTGCATATATCCTGATTCTGTCCAGCTATGTCACTTCCTTTCTGACCAATCAGCCAATCAGTGTTTTGTTCATTAGCCAGTAAGAGACACACATGCGCAATAACATTGCCCATCAAACCTTTCACAATAGATGGTTATACTATAAATAATATTTATAAATAATAAATAATATTTATCAATAAATAATTATTATTCAGTCTAGGAAATGGAGATTCTCCAGAGTAAAAAAGATGTCAGGAAAATGGACTACTTACTAGTTTAAGAAAGGATGCTGGGGCCAGAGAGATGGCACAGTGGTTAAAAACACTTACTGCTCTTACAGAAACCTGGGTTTGGATCCTTCCTAGTATCTTTTGTAACTCCTGCTCAAATGCCCTCTTCTGACTTTAGTGGGCACCTTTATTCAGGTGTTGCACATAAACACAGATAAGCACACACACACACACACACACACACACATATGCACACATACACACAAATCTTTAAAATAGAATGTGATACCTCCTTCCGTGGAAAGATACATGAAGATGAAGGAATTATCCGCCATCATGAACCCAGTGAAAGTAAGTATTGGTTTTGGGAAAAGGACCAATAGGAGAGACTGGGAATCCGAGGCAATACACTGTCTCCCGGCTTCTACCAACTGTCATTTAATACATCTTTAGGTAAATTTAATGATGTCTTTTTGTTTAGGTTTCCTTACAGTTTGAGCACAGCACAGAGTGCCTGCTCGTTCAATCTTAGTTCTCAGGATGATAAGCATAAACTAAGCACTGGCATTATCTTCAGATGAGAATATTTCAGTGTTGTGAATATATGCACCTTTATTATGATCACTCTGCATACAGTGGGGGTATGATCTCTATGCCTTTTTACTGTTAAACCATATTTATATGCACTGATTACACTGGTATTGATGTAAAATCCAACTTTTAGTCAAAGATCCTCTTGCTTCAAATGCAAAAACTTCAAAGGTGAGTTTTACGGGATTTCTGTAGTTTCCATTGTCAGGGCATCTGCCACAAGCCTTTTGGTATTTGGTTATAAACTAGAATGTTAGAGATGAAAAATTACTGAATGTTGGATTAAAATGGAGTATACTTATGGAAGTTATTCAGAATTTATCATTTTTTGCCTTTGTTCCCAAACTCAGTCATCTTCATTTTTTTCTTGCATAAGTAACTAGCCTTATTGTATACTCAATTAAAAAACCTAGAAAAGGTAATGATTAGAAGAATACCATTGTTGATATGCATAGAAATATTTTCATTTTAAAAACTCATATATATATATATATATATATGATCATTGATTATTAGCGCATCGATAAAAACTTTGAGTCTGTTAATATTAGACAGATATTGAAAATTCCCTCATTTTCCAATACAACAATGTGATTACTATACTCCTTGGAATGATTCAGATGGACCTAGTTGGGTGCATAATTGAAGATATCTTTGACTTGGGTCACAGATTTTAGTAAAATTGTTTAGTAGTTGTTCCTGTGGTTTTCTCAGCATAGGGAAAGGGCATTGTGTTCATTAAGGCTAAATAAAGAGAGGGTCAAGAAATTGCAGAACCATAGCACAGGTGTTTGTGAACTGATGGAGTCTGAAATCTAAGCTCAATACTATATGCAAGAAATTGGGGGAGACTGCTGCACTCTGGGAAATGTGTGGGAGTTACTAGATGGGAATTTCCCTTGTGGTCAGAAAATGGGTCAGAAGCTGTTGAAGAGTTGGATGAAGGCTACTTCCAGAGAGCAGGATGCTTTTGGAAAGTAAGTCACACACTAGTATGATTTTTAGTATTGATCATCATCTTGACAGCATCTAGAGAGTCCTTTTTGCATGTAGGTGAGGGATTGTCCAGTTTCAGCTATTGAGGTAAGAAGACTCACCATTGCAGTAGAAGGAGCTGGTCCTCAGGGAGGATGCTTCCAGGTCTTTTCCAGCTGATTCCTTCATGTCCTGTGTCTTAACTATGTAGTGTGGTCAGCACCTTCAAGATCTGAGGCTACTGTTGGCAATGGCAATAGTCTGCATTGTTGTAAATTTATTAGACTGCTCTGATCAAAGTTCAAAAACAGATTGCCTATCCTTGACCCTGGAGATTTTATTAATAGATTATGGCTCTTAAATGGAGCATTATAACCCCAAGTGGCATAATTTCATTACACAGAGAGAGACAGAGACAGAGAGAGAGAGAGAGAGAGAGAGAGAGAGAGAGAGAGAGAGAGAGAGAGAGAGAGAGAGAGAGGAGAGAGGAAGGGGGAGACAGAGAGAGTAAACAAAAGATACTATGATTTCCTATGGCTTTGCCAGACATGCAGTGTTATTTCAAACACCAATTCAGCCACTTAATCTTGGAGTTAAAATTTGTCCTTCCTGAAAGATGTGCATGTGCTGTGGTAAAGGTGATACAATACTTGTGGGAGTGACTAACCTATCATAGGTCCACCTAGAGACCCATAACCTTAGAGGGGGCCCATTCCTGACACTATCTGGGTAGCTATAAACCAGAGAGTGGATAGTTAGAGAGCAGCCTTTGATTGCCTATAGATCTACACCTAGATGTGAAGCCTTGGAAGATTCCCCATCTGTACTGGCATGTGTTGGAACTGTTCTGGTTTTCTTTAGGCAATGTATTGGTAAGATTTCCTGAGTATAGCTTTCCGGTCACACACAGAAGACATTATCTCAGAGCATCCATTCTGTTCCTCTGACTCTAGCCCAAGTTCATCTGTTTTCTTCATTTGTGGCAGTTCTGAATTTCAGTGACAGTCTCTGTCTGCTGCAATCAGAAGCTTCTTTGATGAGGAATGAGAACCACACTTACCTGTGGGTACAAGGATAAATATTAAGAATGCAACCGGGGCTCAAGATGGTTTACATTCTCCTCTATGGTCCATGACATCACCAGCCACAGGTAATTGGCTAGAATTACAGCACCAGGCATGAATTCCTCTTTCTGGGCTCTTCTCTCTCCCTCTGTGCCCTTTTACATTCTTGGTATCTGAGGTTACTCTAGCTTATATACTCACATCAAAAGATCAGAGCTAGTAATTACAAATAAGACACAAAATGTGACATTTGTCTTACTGTGCCTGCGTTACTCAATATACATACCCCCATTCATTTACCTACAAAGTTCATGATTTCAATTTTCTTTACAGATTAACATAATTCTATTGCATGCATGTACCATATTTTCATCATCAATCAGCTAAAGGGCATAGTGTGTGTGTCTGTGTGTGTGTGTGTGTATTTCACCACAGAATTCTACCTCATTTTTAAAGGAGAGACAATATTAATTACACTATACTCTTTGAGAAAGCTGAAAATTACACCGCACTTTGTCCACAAGCTGTTGCTGCTGACCTTAGAAGTGGTTGTTGGGAAAAGAACTTCAGTATCATTCAGCAGGGCTTAAGGATACAGGAAGTGGCTTAGGATAGCCTCTAGGTAGTTCAAACTAAGCCTGTACAGCTGGAGTTGTTGGCGCCAGGCCTCATCTCTTTTGAGTCTTATGTGGTCCCAGAGCTGAGAGGCTCAGCGTCTCATGTTCCTTGGGAACTGTATTGCAGCCCTCAGTGGTGTGGTCAATGCCTGGGTGATTCAGCCCTAGAGTACGAGTACCTCACCCAGAGAACTGGGCTCATCCTCTGCCTCTGCATCTCTCATGGATATACCTCAGCAGCACAACAGCCATTGATATAGTCTTTCTCATCACATATATACTGGGAGGATTAAACTGGAGATGTTAAAGCGCTTTAAAACTCACCAGTAAACAAACTCTTCCTGCCAGCTATTCTGCAGAACTAAGAGATTCTTGGAGATGAGAGAGAAGGGATAAAGAATGTCTTGGAAAATGGCCAAAATCACCAATTTTTCCCTAAAATTAAATTAGACTATTGAAAGGAAAACTCATGAGTTAGAGAGCACAAACTATTTCCATTTCCCCCAAAGCATTGTTCTTTGGTTATTAACATGTTTCTTGGTTGGATTGTTCAAATAAAACATTTTTTCTTTAAAACAAATAGAAATATTCTATGTAATAATTAAAATTCTTACTCCGTGAAGAAAATGGCTCTTCTTTCGATTTATATGCTGTCAACTAACACATATGCTGGCATGTTGGGAGTCACAGTGTGACCATAAAACACTCAGAATACTCTGCCGACTCATTTCATGTTTGGTTTTCATCTGGTTTCATTTAGAGCCATGAATATTCTATGTTTATGTTAGAATTAATCACATTTAGTGACCCTTCAGCAAGTGCAATTCTGACCTGTTCTCATCACAGCTAAGTTCATTATATAGTACATATTATACATACTATTTTGCTGAAGGGAACATGAGAACAGATGACCTGCATGTGATTTAGATTAGTGTAGAAAGGTTCTCAGGTTGCCTACAGTATTGAAAATAAACAGATACTAACACACATGTACACATGTATATATAACTATATGCACATACATGTGTATATGTTCAATCTACCTTCAAATGATTGAGAATTTATTAGAAATGTTGAAACTGGACTTTGCTAAATAAACTTTGATAAATAAGCCCTCTTGCTTTTTTTTCTCTTTAAGTACCCTCAAGAAATCCTTGGGTTTTGAAAAATATAAACACCCTCCCCTATGCACACACTCCTCTATTTGGGTTAAAAATATAACCCCAGAAATTTCCTATTTGAAAAAATAATGATCCACTAACTGGTTACTGTTGTTCAACTATTTGAGGATTGACCTCCCCAGGTTGAGAAAATGGAGCCTGGAGAGAAGTCAAATAATCTACAATAAATTCTTACAGTCTTGAGGAAGCTGCTTGAGATCAGGGACCAAATTAACATATTTCTGAGTCTCCAGATGTGCTCTTTCATAACATGAGCCATTAGTTGAATTTTAATTTTTATATTAAGAACTACTCTGTTCTGTGTAGCATTTTTAAAAATAAATAACCTAAGTTCAATTATACTTGACACCGATCACGGTGTATTGCAACCATATTCCTAATATTGTTGAAATATGGACCAAGCAATGGTCATGATCTGTGGACTAATAATTCATGGATTTGAAAAATTGTCCCCAGGAGTCTCCATGTTGTATTTCTCTTCATCTATGAGAAACAAGTGGCAAATGTAGTTGAAAGTAAATGAGCTGTTCTTTCTATTTAATTCAAGATGTTTTTAGAACTCTAAATAAAAGACTTTAGGAAGAGTTATTTTTTTCTTTTGATCTTTATAATGCCCTTTGAATTAAAAGCTTAGCTGGCACATTAATTGTTGTCTGGCCAAAGCAGTGTATTCATAGACAGGAATGAATGCTAATTTGTCAGCCAGGCTAAATTATGCATATTGTCCTATCTTTTAATTTCCCATGGCTGTTCACAGCTGGGGGCTGTTCCTCCATCCGGGATTCTACTGTTTTCTCTAAAGCCTTTACAGTTGGATCACTGAGACTGGGAGACTGGGTTGCTTCCTGTTAGCTTCAGGCTCTCCGTCCTCTCTTGCTCACTTCTCTTCATCTCCTTACACTTGTTAATCCTGAAGTTCATACTCTCTGTAGGATGATTTCTAAGTGCTATGCAGAAGGAATATATTGGCTTCCTTCATTCCAACATAAATATTTGAAATTAGGGTATATTTCACTTTTATGGAAAATTTCCCAAAGCTATAGAAATCAAAATATATAGACTACATAGTAGTAGACAATGAGGAACATTGGAATATTCTTAATTATTATTGGAAAGGGCTAATGGAATTAAATAGGCTTTATTTAAAATTTCCCTAACTTTGTAAGGAGGCTATGCAGAATTTTATTCTGAAAGAGTCTAATAGAGTGTAATTTCTTTATCTGGTTGGGGGAAACCAATACCTAAGGGTAAAAAAATAAAGGAATAAAATCAATAATCTTAAAATAAAATCCACAAAGCATTGTGGGTTACCACACTGGATGAAATAAATGTAAGCAGCAGCATCCCATTGCAAGTCAGTTTCAGCATCTCAACTTAGAACTAATTCATAACTTGAGACTCAAGATTCATTTGATTCTCGAGGTAATGCAGTAGCTGCTTTATAAGGAAACAACAAATGTTTCAAAAACTACTTAATTCACTTTTAGCTACTGTCACATGAAAATAAGTAAATCACCTTCTACTGTTTATGGAAGATGAGATTCCTTCATTGCTGGTTTTGTTGTGACTGACTGCACACAGCAAAACCTCTGAGAACACTTCTCCTTGTGCACACTTTATGTGGACTGAATTGCTAGTATAGTTCTAGATAAGATGCTCATTAAGAGTTCTTAGAGGGACCTCCACTGCTTGGCCATTTGGCTGGAGCATCTGCCTTCTCTGGATGGATTCTAGAGCAGGGCAAAGTTCAAGAGTCTGGGCCTGAGGGGAGGCATGACTTGACAGGTTTCACTCCTAAAAACTAACTTTCCTGTTGCAGTTAGGGTGGTTTCTTGAAGACACAATTGTTTGGAGATAGAAAACCAGCTGCAGAACTAGATAGAGAGTTTTCAATAGAGGAGTCTAAAATGGCTGAGAGGCACTTGAGAAAGGGCTCAACATCCTTAGCCATCCGGGAAATGCAAATCAAAACAACTCTGAGATACCATCTCACTCCTGTCAGAATGGCTAAAATCAAAAACACCAATGACAATTTATGCTGGAGAGGATGTGGTGAAAGGGAGACACTCCTCCATTCCTAGTGGGAGTGCCAACTGGTTCAGCCACTTTGGAAATCAGTATGGAGATTCCTCAGAAAAACGGGAATAAACTTACCACAAGACTCAGCAACTCCACTCTTAGGCATATATCCAAAAGATGCCCATTCATACAACAAAGATGTCTGTTCCACTATGTTCATAGCAGCATTATTTGTAATAGCCAGAACTTGGAAGCAACCTAGATGTCCCTCAACCGAAGAGTGGATAGAGAAAATGTGGTACATTTACACAATGGAGTACTATTCAGCAGAAAAAAACAATGGAATCCTGAGATTCGCAAAGAAACCATCCTGAGTGAGGTAACCCAGTCACAAAAAGAGAAACATGGCATGTACTCTCTCATATATGGATTTTAGACATAGATCTGGGGAGTGCCAGCCTACAATCCCATGGCCAAAGAGTCTGGGAAACAGAAACTTCATTTAGTGGCTGATTGAAGAAGAGGCAGACTCCCTCGGTTAATTACTGAGCTGAACTCAAGAAAGCCAGTAACAGAGAGGAAGGACTGATGACCAAAGGAATTACGACTGGGCTGGGTTAACCCCCAGAAACAGCTGACCTGACAAAGGTTAACTCTTGAATCCCAGGCATCAGCCTGGGAATCCAGCATGGGACGGATCAAGACCCCCTGAATGTGAGTGTCAGTGAGGAGGCCTAGGTAATCTATTGAGCCTTGGGCAGCAGATCAGTACCCATCCCGAGTATACACAAGGACTTTGGACTCCTATCCAACAATGTGAGGTTCGCTCTCACCCTGAACTCTTAGGGAAGGATATAGGCCCTGCCCTTTATGAAATGACAGACTATGGATACCCCCATGGAAGGTATCACATTCCCTGGGGAAATGAGGGGATAAGGGGGGGATTTGGGGGAGGGCACGGGAGGAGGGGAGGGAAAGGGAGAGGGACCTGGAACTGACTTGTGAAGCAACCTTGTTTCTTATCTAAATTTAAACTGAAAAATAAATAAATAAATAAAATAAGTTACTAAAAAAAAAAGGAAATCCAAAATGAATAAAACTGTGTGAACACATGTAGGCATTGAAGACTAGTCCCATTTATAAAGAAGTAGTTACATACTAAATTACAATCAAAATATTTGTAATGTCTATCTTTCTCTCATGCATCCTTTGTCACTTGAAGACTTCTATCTCAGTGACTGTGATGCTCATTTTGGGCTCTCCAGTTGT